GGGGACGCAACAGGTGCGCGCTCGCGCGGGAATTACTCGGCGGACGGGGAATCGTCGTTTCGTGACCGGCGATTCGCGGTTCGTTTAGGAAAGTCGATTACCGGCTGGTCGGCCGCGCGAGCCGTCGAGGATGCTGCAGCCCGCTCCGAGCCCGGTTACTCGTCGGCGAGGGTTAATTACACTTGTCTACGCGTGAAATCGAGCAAATCGAGCGTGAGGAGCTGCCTGGGAACGCCGCGGGCGAAAATATCGCAAAAATCCGGGAATATTCCTATCGCTTTGGGGGTTTTGCTATGGATAGAGGATCTTCAGATTTCTGAACCCTCGGGACGATGATTTTCGAAGGTCGGAACATTAGAATTCAACGTATCCGCCTTCTAAAACATACGTAACGCGAGAGTTACTTTTACGAGTCACGTCTTCGTCGAACTGATCCGCTTCGCGAAACATGGCACTGCTAAAACCAGAGGAGACTACGAAATTATAGAAGACTACAGGAGGAGCACTCTCGCGCTACTTTCAAACGAACCACCATCCTTTAACCCCTACGATTTATTTCTCAATTATAATCGACACGACCATTCTACTAATAATTCATTAGAAAAAGCGAAAGATTTTAGGTATATTCTATGTTCGCTCCAAAGTATACTGATTAATAACAGAAAAGTAACGTTTCTACGAGATGACACGTTACAAGGCAAAGAGTTAATTATTCAATGACAGAAAAATATGTTTCGCGCGAATTGCAGCATCCCCAATTTCCACTTGATATTATCGATAACATTTAATATAGTATTTTTTTCTTTAATTCTTTCTTTATGCTATAATATATAATCCTTAAGCTTAATGTCAATGGTCATCCCCCAGAAAAAGATACAAACTGTTTAAATCAAAGGCTAAAAGTCTTCTGGAACAGCACCTCCTCTAATTTTAGCTATAACCCTCCACTGCTCAAATTTCTTTAGCTTCCCCTGTCTAACCTCCTTAACGACCTCGTTTTCGAATTCTTCCACCTTCCTCCCGGCGGGCATTAGGTTGAAGCCGAGGTTCCGCGTCCCAGTGAAACCGGAACAAAGCTGGCGACGAAGTCGGACAGCGCGTCGGATTATTCATATTTGATTAACACCTAGCATACAGTACCGTTGCCTCGTTGTTCGGGATCTATAAATCCAGCCCCGAGCGTCTACAGTTACACGTCTATGGGTTTTTTGCCGATTCCCCGACGCCGGGGAAATGAAACTCGCGCGATTCGTCTTCGTACGCCGGCTTCTTTATTTTCACCGTCCCCTCTCCCCCTCCGGCCGTCGTCCTCGACGGTGCCACGGCGAACGGACGCACCGCGAAGAATCGGATTACAGGTGAAGGTTCACGACTTTCACGTCGTAACGCTTACCTTTTGCCACGGGGCGGACAGACGGCGATAATCTCGCCGGCGGAAAAGCGAACGTTTACTTGTCCGCCGCCATTAAACGCGACATTTTACGATTTGCACGCCGCGTAACCATAAACCCGGTGAAATCGCGCGACCAATATGCCGCGGCGATCCCGAGGACACGGACGGCATCGTCGGACGTAACGATCGCCTTCACTTCGATCGACGTTGTTCACCGATTGTCTCGGATTGAAACTTGATCGAGTCTTTTCGGTTTCCTCAGACCTGTCTTCGATGAAATAGGTGCTTGAGATGAAGACAAATCTCTCGTTGCTTCGATAATTGAGCTACTGATTCGAATAGTTCATATTCAATAAAATACGAAGACTGATAATGAGGTTTTGGGAATTTGTCTTTGGATAATTGCTTGTGATGTGTGGTATTGTGAAATGTAACAGTTAACGCGAATTTCTTGGACACTCGAGAGTTTTAGGGGTTCAACATTAGGACTACCAGGTGGGTTAAAATTGATCAATTCCCAATTTCTTCTGTTAGAATGATTGTAAAGGTACAGATGCTTCTTTAAGAAATGATTAAAGTTGATTCGGTAGTACTTAAACTGAAGTATAAACCGACTGAAATGTTATTAAATTCACACGTATAGCTTTCATAAAGAAATGTTCGAAAGACGATTTAAGTGCTCGTGTTAGAAAGATGAATAAAGTGAGACGAATAATTTGTAATCAACGGAATTCTTCGCGAGGTTGTTCTTTGATTATACCTGTTGAAATAAAGTATAATGGAATGAAATTGTATTTGCGAGTAGAGTGTTCGAGTCTTTCGATAAGGACGCGTATTTGCATGGACTTCCGTACTTCAATGAGAGATACCGAAGGTTGTGCGTATATGGAAGCTTAAAAAACGTCGCCGAAGAGTAATGAAGGATTAACGGTGGGAACAGAATGCAAATAAGCGTGGCTGTTCTGCTAATTGCTGTTTTTGTTGGACCAGGCGGCCCAGTGAACTGATTTACTCGCCGAATGAATAACATGAATAGATATATCATTAACGACGTTTATGTTTATGCGGAATTTCATTGACTTCCTTCTTTTTTCCCTCGGACGCATTCCATTGCCGATCATTATTCAACGAGCGCAAATAGAATCGAGACGACGGCATGCATCA